CGCCACAGCGGAATGAACTGCCAACTTATCTAGCATATATTTTAGGCAGCAGATGCCCTTCCAGCTGCAACCCAGTACAGGGAAACACACACACACACACACACACTCATACAAGACAGCCAATTTAGTTCATCAATTCCCCTATAGTGCATGTGCTTGGACTGTGGGGGAAACTTGAGCACCAGGAGGAAACCCACGCCAACATGGGGAGAACATGCAAACAAAGAAAGTAACTGTATCATTAACATTGTATTTAAATTACTTTTCTAATTACTATGTCTGAAATGTAATTGAATTACTCAGTAAAAATGTAATTACTTGGTTAAATACTATTTAAAATCTCAACACAAAATAATTTACATTTGAGTTTAACCTTAAATGTGGCCTTTCAGCTTTATTAAATATACATACTTCAGCATTTTAATTTACTTGAAGTTACTTTAATTAATTATAAGTCTGTCTAATAGATTATTTAATTATTTGACTCAGAACCTAGAATCCAGATATATCTCAATGCATAGAAAATACAAAATAAACTTTTAATCTGGTAAATTTGAGTCAATCACGGCATTTTGGCTTAGAATTAGTTATTAGTTGCATTATTAAAATAGTATTTAAATTACTTTTCTAATTACTATGTCTGAAATGTAATTGAATTACTCAGTAAGGAATTTAATTATTTGGCTAAATATACTTCAAATTGGGCGTCACGGTGGCACAGTGGGTAGCACGACTGCCTTACAGCAAGAAGGTCGCTGGTTTGAGTCTCGGCTGGGTCAGTTGGTGTTTCTGTGTGGAGTTTGCATGTTCTCCTTGTGTTGGCGTGTGTTTCCTCCGGGTGCTCCGGTTTCCCCCACAGTCCAAACACATGCGCTTTAGGGGAATTGGGTAAACTAAATTGTCCGTAGTGTATGAGTGTGAATGAATGTGTATGGGTGTTTCCCAGTGATGGGTTGCAGCTAGAAGGGCATCCACTGCGTAAAAAAATCTGCTAAATAAATTGGCAGTTCATTCCGCTGTGGCGACTCCAGATTAAGGGACTAAGCAGGAAAAAAAATGAATCAACTACTTAAAATCACAACACAGACATTAGAAATTAAACTTTTAATTCTTAAAATTTTAAGTTTAACCTTAATTTAGTCATTTTAGCTTCATAAATAATACATACTTAAGCATTTATAAGTTACTTTATAATAATTATTAATTACAAATGAGTTACCTATATATATACTTTGTCTAAAATGTAAATTAATTACTGGATTTAAAATTAAAACTTATTAAATCTCTACGATAGAAATTCAGCATTTGATTTGTTAAAATGTGAGTCAAATGTGGAATTTTAGCTTCAAAATAATTACTAATTGCATCATTAAAAATGTATTTACCTGTCTTTACTAATTACTATCTCTGAAAATTACAATCAAGTAGTTTATTTGCTTAAATTATCTGCTAATGGGTAAGAAAAATAATGAAAATAAAAATGAAATAGGCAGTGATAGAATAATTTAGGCAAATAGAGGCAGTGGTGCAGTAGGTAGTGCTGTCGCCTCACAGCAAGAAGGTCGCTGGGTCGCTGGTTTGAGCCTCGGCTTAGTTGGCGTTTCTGTGTGGAGTTTGCATGTTCTCTCTGCGTTCGCGTGGGTTTCCTCCGGGTGCTCCGGTTTCCCCCACAGTCCTAAGACATGCGGTACAGGTGAATTGGGTAGGCTAAATTGTCCGTAGTGTATGAGTGTGTGTGTGAATGTGTGTGTGTATGTTTCCCAGTGATGGGTTGCGGCTGGAAGGGCATCCGCTGTGTAAGCTTGCTGGATAAGTTGGCGGTTCATTACGCTGTGGCGACCCCGGATTAATAAAAGGAGTAAGCCGACAAGAAAATGAATGAATGAAGAAATTAATTAAAACTTTTCCACGCTGGCAGATAATTTATCGTGTTTAAAGGGGAACAAACACTTGATGTCGACTTATTTCTATTTTTAACAGGTCTACAAAATGCTTCTTGACTTAAGAATTTAATTTGAACTGAAAAACTAAGTAAGAAAAGCTTTATTTTTGCAGGGCACTTAAAGATATGTATTTATAGTAGCTAGCTACTTCACAGCTGATAATTGCACTCAGCAGTGGTCTCTCTCCACAGTAACATCTGATTTAGTTTTCTGAAAAGCTGCTTTATTTTTCCTGTTGATCTGTGTGTTAAGCCTGCAGAGGTGGAGATGCTATCGCTTGTGTGTGTGCGTGTGAGCGTGAGCAAGCCGCGACCTGAAATTGGTGTAATTATGCTTGAGGTGGGAGTTGGTTCTGCTGTTTTCACACGCACACACACACACACACATGCACACTTTTGTGCCCTGCCCCAGGTTCGGTCATGTGATGAGACACTTGATAACACACGACTCTGATGTCCTGCAGAAACTTGCTGTTTTTTTGTTGACTTCTTAAAGGAACACTACACTTATTTATTTTTTAAACATTCAAGTTTTACCATGTCTGACTCCATTCAGATCTAAGCACTTTTAGCTTAGCATAGATAATTGAATCGGATTAGACCATTAGCATCTCACTCAGACCAAAGAGTTTCAAGAATTTTCCTCGTGAATGATCCAACTGCTTTTTTTTTCCACATCACGAACTGCTTCCCTCTGGTAGACGATATAGTTTCACAAACAGCGCTTAGATCAAGCCAGGACTAGGTCTTAGATAATTTAGGCTGTTTAAGCCACATTTATAAAATGACCTTAGAAAAATATATTACTGGTGTGTACCTGGAGAAAAAAACAATGACACTTTTGTCTTGTATTTTAAGACATCTCCCTGCAAGTTATTTTGAGTTGAGACAGCTCAAACATGCAATTTAATCTTGACTAGCCTTAAACCTGGTTTGTGAAACCGGGGGATAGAGTCCCAAAGTGTAGGTTAAACCGTTATAAGAAATCATTATACCTGTTTCAGTGGGTTTATTTAACAAGAGTCTACCTTGAGTAGCATTATAAATTTTGTAAGTGCTGTATTTTGTATTGTTTTTATGATAAACTATGATTAATTAATGCTTTACAATATTATTTATCTTTACTTAATGTTAGGAAAAGCTATATTTGCTAATGAATTATTATTTTAAAGCGTTACGCCCCATTCACACGGGGTGTCAGCGTCAACGCTTCCCATTCGCTTTAAATGGGTGACGTCAGGCGTTGCCAAACTGCATTGTGGATCCATCTGCGCCGCTTCAGAGACGTTGCTCGCTGCAGAAGTTGAAGACGGAAGCGTTAGCCAATCAGATGCAAATACACCAGCTAGATAGTGGCCTATTGCTGACTGAATTTCATTGGCTCACAGCCCTAATTTCAGACACGCCTTCAGTCAAGCGTTGACGCTGAAGCCCCGTGTGAATGGGGCGTTACTGTGGCGAGGGGGCGGGGCTGAGAGCCGTGGGAACAGAATAAAGCTGCGGTCACACTAGAGTTTGAGCATACGATATTCTGTTGTGCGGTGCTGCGAAAAGGGGCGGGATTAAACAAGATTATTAGACATTTTAAAAAGCGAGTGATTGCTCCATGTTTTAAATTTCTGTGCAGAGAGCTCGTGTTTTGATCCTCGACTGGTCTCACGCAGTCAAGTGATGCGATTTCGCAGGTCAGAGTTCACCAAGCTTGAACTTTGCACCGAAGCAACTGGCGAAACTTAACGCATGACCCTGCGTTTCCGGCCTGATGCATTAGCGCGCGTATGAATGGAAGTCTATGGGAGGAAAAGCCCAGTGTAGAGATCTGCGCAGCACTAAATTTTGAATCCCGCTCCCGCCCGCACCCGCCAGGTTTTAGCCTGAACCCGACCGCTCCTGCTAATATTAAGAATTTGTTGTCCCGCTGCCAGACTCGCCCCGTTTTCTGGCCGCCGCGCCCGATCCCACTAAAGAGCGGGGGAGAACAAAACCAAAAATCACCCAGCTTTACAGTCCAGACAGCCAAGCTGTCTGTATAAACACACACACACACACACACACACTACCAAGCACACACACACAGACAAAGCTCTCTCTCTCTCATACGCGTGCGCGCGCACTAACACACACACAAGCACCAAGCAGACACACAGGCGTTTGCTGTTATATCAACTCAAAGGCTTGTAATACCATGTATCAAGTACCAATGTAATACCAAAAGGTTTTATATAAAGGTATATAAATACTGAGTCGCGCCAGCTCCGGGCCGCAGCGCACATTACCGAGTCCGGCAGCCAGAGCCAGGTCGAGTGGTAAGACTCCAGCAGGCGAGAATTTAGACGGAACTGGCCCGAGTGTATTTTGCTATCTGCCAAAGCTCTCTCTCTCTCTCTCTCTCTCATTCGCGCGCATGCACACTAACATACACACACACAAGCACACACACAGGCAAAGCTCTCTCTCTCTCTCAATCGCATAGCAATATCCGCGATATTGCTAGACAGCCCGCTCCCATCCCAAATTAAGCTTGAGGCTGCCGCGTAAGTGGATATATCTGTGGCGTGCACTGGCCTCGAATCCCACGGAAGGAGCTCTGGACAATATGAGGAGGAACGATGGCAGAGGAGACCGAGAGAGGACCAGGCCCGGACATATTGTTTTACTTTTGTTGTCAGTTTGACGGCAGACTGACATCCCTGTTATTAATAAATATTTTAAAACTTAGTAGGTTCTCCAACTCCTTCTTCCCGGCGGCCAAAGGGCTGTAAACTTCATTACAGTTACCAAAAAAGAAGTAATTTCTCGCAATGTGTGTGTGTGTGTGTGTGTGTGTGTGTGTGTGTGTGTGTGTGTGTGTGTGTGTGTGTGTGTGTGTGTGTGTGTTGATCTAAAAGAGCAGACGGCTGTGTACTGAAGTGTGTTGTTAATTTCTCTGCTAGGGTGAAATGCATTGAGCCATGCAGACAGAAGGACGAGCAGAGAAGCAGAATCTGCAGCGAATCTCTTGCGTTTCTGATGGCCTCTGTTGAGCGATCGGTCGGTCCATGATTCTGACTCCCGCTGATGGACCGCTGGATTTGGGGGCGATGCTGGAGCTTCGGGGCCTGTTCTCCGGCTAGTCTGGCCCCTGCTGAAGCTCCCGGCGTGGCCCTGGAGCGCAGCGGGTGAGCGGGCGCGGGACAGCCTCATGCAGGCACGCAAGAAGTACGTGCTTCTGGGCCTGTGCACGTGCTGCTGGATCCTGCTGTATTACTGGGCCGGCCTGCAGGAGCGCCTCCTGGGCCTCATTACACACAGGTATGCGTATTATTCATTCATTCTTTTGCCTTTAACTTAGTCTCTGATTTATCAGGGGTCAGCACAGTGGAATGAACCTCCAACTCCTCTGGCATGCCCATCCAGAATTAACTTATGTTACGGGAATCCTAGCTCATTGTAAGTATGTGCTTCAGCCTACATTTAAACTAAAATATATGTTGCTCTGGTTACAATTTATTTAGAATCCACTAAAGGGCGCTGTCTATATTTGTGTTAATTTGAAATACGTTACTTGGGGTACGTTTAGTTGTATGTTTCAGATGTCAAGTCCACTAGAGGGCGCTGTTTATATTTGTGTGAATCTGAAATACATTATTGGGGTGTGTTTAGTTTCACATTTCAGATGTCAAATTCACTAGAGGGCGCTGTTTATATTTGTGTTAATCTGAAATACGTTACTTGGGGTACGTTTAGTTGTATGTTTCAGATGTCAAATCCACTAGAGGGCGCTGTTTATATTTGTGTGAATCTGAAATACGAAGGTGACGCTTGTCGTAACAAGTCGCTCATCGCTTCTTTAAACCCATTTCAATTGTGTTTTCAGAAGATGTTAGAGAAAAGTGAACTGCAACCATGTAGTTAATCTTAATTATACATCGTTTTTGTGGACACATGCTTCTCTGGATTCAAACCCATAAATAATCCTTCATTCATGAATAGTATGTCCCTGTGAATATCATTAGTGTGAAAAGGATCAAAAACTGTTGTCGTCATACTGCCCTCTAGTGTCCATCTGACCTACAAACTGCAGTTAAATGTGTGTTGAAGTAATTTTACGGTTTACAATTTGTATATATCTCCAATGATCCTGTGTTGAAATTTTCTTGTTAGATAGTTCACCTCGAAATGAAAAATTACTCACTATTCACTCACCCTCAAGTGTTTCAAAACTTTATAAGATTTTTTATTTTCTGTTGAACATTAATGGAGATATTTTGGAGAAAGTTTGGAAACTAGTAATCATTCATATCAATAGTATTTTTCAGATTTAGCAATGTAGTGCTCCTGTAGTGTAAAAACTGCCCTCTAGTGGATTTGACATTGAAAACGTACAATGAAACGTACCCTAAGTAACATATTTCTGATTCACACAAATGTAAAAACTGGCTTCTAGTGGATTTGACAAATGAAACGTACAACTAAACGTACCGTAAGTAACATTTCAGATTTACACATAAAAAGACAGCACCCTCTAGTAAATTTGACTTCGAAAACGTACAACTTAACAAGTAACGTATATCAGATTCACACAAACATAAACAACGCCCTCTAGTGGATTTGAGGTTAAAACGTACAACTGAATGTACTCTAAGTGACGTATTTCAGATTCATGCAAAGATAGACAGCGCCCTTTAGTGGATTTGTCGTCAAAACTAAAAGTGCCCTAAGTTACGTATTTCAGATTAACACAAATATAAACAGCGCCCTCCAGTGGATTTGACATTAAAAGTGTAAAACTAAACGTACCCTAAGTAACATTTTTCAAATTCACGCAAATATAAACAATGCCCTCAAGTGGATTTGACGTTGAAAGCATACAACTAAACGTACCCTAAGTAACGTATTTCAGATTTACACAAATATAGACAGCGCCCTCTAGTGGATTTGACATCTGAAACGTACAACTAATTGTACCCTAAGTAACATATTCAGTTGTACGTTTTTGATGTCAAATACACTAGAGGGCGCTGTCTATATTTGTAATTATTAAATTCAATAATATTTTTCAGATTTAGTCATGTAGTGCTCATGTATGCTTCACTCACCGTTTTTATTTCTGTCAGCTTTACCTGTAATTAAAGAATTAATAAACGATTACAGCTCAGAACAATGTTTTGAGGCAAGTATCCATGTAATAAGCAGGATAAAGTACACCCAGTCGATTGTTATCAAAAAATAAATATTTCAGCTGCTGATAAACCTGTCATGCTTTATTCTGCGATAACAACCATCTGGATGTACTTTATCCCTTATATCTTTAATTATGCACTGCATCCACAGGAGAGGAGAGGTGCCGCGGCCCTGGCCTGATTGGCTGGATCGGGCTTTACTCCCGAATTTTGCAGAGCAATTGGATCTCCAGAATGGCGGCGGCCCGGGCGACTCTCCTCGGCAGCGGAAACAGGCGTGGAGCAGCATCTACAAGGACAGTCGCTGCCGGATGGATACGTGTTTTGACTTTGGACGATGCCAAACTCAAAGTGGCTTCCGTGTCTACATCTACCCACCTGAAAAAGGTGAACGGGTGTCTGAGAGCTACCGTAAAATTCTCACTTCAGTCTCCGAGTCCAGATATTACACCTCGGACCCTCGGGAAGCGTGTTTGTTTGTGTTGGGAATCGATACGCTGGATAGGGATCAGCTTTCCCAGCAGTTTGTGCCCAACGTTGATGAGCGGATTCGAGGATACCCACTTTGGAACGACGGTCGAAATCATGTCATCTTTAATCTATATTCCGGCACCTGGCCCAATTACACTGAGGATTTGGGTTTTAACGTTGGCCAGGCTATTTTAGCTAAAGCTAGTCTGAATACTGAACATTTCCGGCCGGGTTTTGATATTTCCATCCCGCTGTTCTCCAAGGAGCACCCGCAGAAGGGCGGGAAAAGAGGATGGCTGGTTCGCAACTCGGTTCCCCCGAGAAGGAAATATTTGTTGATGTTTAAAGGTAAACGCTATTTGACGGGAATCGGCTCGGATACTCGCAACGCTTTGCATCACATACACAATGGCAAGGACATCGTTTCCTTAACAACGTGTCGCCATGGAAAAGACTGGGAGAAACACAAAGATGCTCGCTGTGACCATGACAACCAGGAGTACGAGAGGTAAGACAATGGGGAGTTTCTGTACCTATAGCTGAATACGGATTGAATCGATTGTTGAGTGAATCATTCCATCAATATTGAAGCTACAGTTTTGTTTTCAGTGACTCAATGCAGGTTGCAAGCGAATTGAATCAAACTGAATCAATCATTGAGAGAATCGTTACATCAGTATTGAAGATACAGTTTTGGTTTCAGTGACTCAATGGAGTTTGTCAGTGAATTGAATTAAACTGAATCAATCATTGAGTGAATCGTTACATTAATGTTGAGGCTGCAGTTTTGTTTTCAGTGACTCAGAGTTTGTCAGTGAATTGAATCAATCAATCAATCATTGAGTGAATCGTTACACTAGTATTTAAGATACAGTTTTGGTTTCAGTGACTCAGTGGAGTTTGTCAGTGAATTGAATCGATAGTTAAATGAATCATTATATCAGTATTGAAGTTAGAGTTTTGGTTTCAGTGACTCAGTGGAGTTCGTCAGTCAATTGAATCAATCATTGAGTGAATCATTACATCAATATTGAAGCTACAGTTTTGTTTTCAGTGACTCAATGCAGGTTGTAAGTGAATTGAATCAAACTGAATCAATCATTGAGTGAATCATTACATCAGGATTGAAGCTAAAGCTTTGGTTTCAGTGACTAAATGGAGTTTGTCAGTGAATTAAATAAAATTTAATCAATTATTCGGTAAATAATTACACCAATATTGGAGCTACAGCTATGGTTTCAGAGACTCAATGGAGTTTGTCAGTAAATTGAATCAATCATTGAGTGAATCGTTACATCAGTATTGAAGGTACAGTTTTGGTTTCAGTGACTCAATGGAGTTTGTCAATGAATAGAATCGATAGTTAAATGAATCATTATATCAGTATTGAAGTTAGAGTTTTGGTTTCAGTGACTCAGTGGAGTTCATCAGTGAATTGAATCAATCATTGAGTGAATCATTACATCAATATTGAAGCTACAGGTTTGTTTTCAGTGACTCAATGCAGGTTGTAAGTGAATTAAATCAAACTCAATCAATCATTAAGTGAATCGTTACATCAGGATTGAAGCTACAGCTTTGGTTTCAGTGACTAAATGGAGTTTGTCAGTGAATTAAATCAAATTTAATCAATTATTGAGTGAATAATTACATCAATATTGAAGCTACAGCTTTGGTTTCAGTGACTCAATGTAATTTGTCAGTGAATTGAATCAAATTGAATCAATCATTAAGTGAATCGTTACATCAATATTAAGGCTACAGTTTTAGTTTCAGTGACTCAATGGTTCAGAGTTGGTCAGTGAATTGAATCCAACTGAATCAATCACTGAGTGAATCATTACATTAATGTTGAGGCTGCAGTTGTGTTTTCAATAACTCAATGGAGTTTGTCAGTGAATTGTTCCAAATTGAATCAATAGTTGAGTGAATCATTCCATCAATATTGAAGCTACAGTTTTGTTTTCAGTGACTCAGAGTTTGTCACTGAATTGAATCAATCATTGAGTGAATCGTTACATCAGTATTGAAGATACAGTTTTGGTTTCAGTGACTCAGTGGAGTTTGTCAGTGAATTGAATCAATCATTGAGTGAATCGTTACATCAGTATTGACAAATTGAATCATTAAATCACTATTAAAGCTGCAGTTTGGAAATTCATGTTTTTTTTCACCTGAAAAATAACAAACTAAACATCTTGGATGACGAGGAGTAGAGTAAATAATTAAGAAATGTTCATTCTGGAAGTAAAGCGGATCAATGACGGATATCAGATCAGCTTTGGTTTGAGTGACTCAATGGAGATGTCAGTGAATCGACTTGAATCATTAGTTGAGTGAATCATTACATCAATATTAAAGCTGCAGTTTGGAAGTTCATGTTTCTTTCCAGTGACACCGCCCGCAGGCCCTGAACTCGAGTTGCTGTGTGTTAAATACAAGAAGCTGCTATCGGTTACAGCAGGGTGTGTTTTACTTATGTAACACACGGCAAAGTGTCAAGTGTGAAAAATGCTGAACATGTATCAAGTGATCTCTCGAGGATGACACACGCAGGCTATTGTACATCATAAATGTGTTTAAAGTGGCTGCTGCATTGGTGTGACTGTTGTGTGAATGTTTTCAGCATTTTGTGAAGCCACATGTTGGTGTGGGTTTCCCTTCGGGTGCGAAGTCCAAACACACATGCCATAGGGGAAATGGGTTAGCTAAATTGTCTGTAGTGTATGTGTGTGAATGAGAGTGTATGAGGGTTTCCCAGTGATAGGTTGCAGCTAGAAGGGCATACGCTGCGTAAATAAATGCAGGATAAGTTGGCGGTTCATTCCGCTGTGGTGACCCCTGATTAATAAAGGGACTAAGCTGAAATTAAAATGAATGAATGAATATTAATTTATTATAGTTAAAAACCTATGTAAAAATTAATGCAAAATAAATGTATATTTTTAATTTAATTTAATTTAATAAAAAAAGGCAACTGTGATCTGTGTGAACTAAAATTCATCCTGCCATTGTTAAATTAATTTAATTTAATTAAAAACAAACAATTGTGATCTGTGTGAATGATGATTGAACTAAATTTATCCTGCCACTGTTAATTTATTACAATTAAAATTTTTATAAAATTTTATGTAAAAATTTATGTAAAAAATTAATATAATAAAATTTTGAATTTTAACTAAAATTCATGCCACTGTTAATTTAATTTAAATTTATTTATTTTAAAAAATACATGTAAAATTATTTTATTTTATTTTATTTTATTTTATTTTATTTTATTTTATTTTATTTTATTTTATTTTAACTTTAAAAACTGACAATAGTGATGTATGTGAATGGGAATTGTTTGGACTAAAATTCATTCTGAAACTGTTTATTTAATTCAAATTAATTTAGTTTATTTAAAAATTTTAAAAAGTAAAATAAAAAAATTATTTTAAGCAAAAAATTATATAAAAATAAATATTTAATTTAATTTAATTTAATTTAATTTTTAACAGACAATTTTCTAGACAGACGGCAACACAGTGGCGTAGTAGATGTGAAGTGCTGTTGCCTCATAGCAAGAAGATTGCTGGTTCCCGGTTTGAGCCTCGGATGGGTTTCCTCCGGGTGCTCTGGTTTCCCCCTCACAAATCCAAAGACATGCGGTACAGGTGAAATGGGTAAGCTAAATTGTCCTTAGTGTATGGGTATGGATGAGTGTGTATGGATGTTTCCCAGTGATGGGTTACAGCTAGGCGGTTCATTCCGCTGTGGCGACCCCAGATAAATAAAAGGACTAAACTGAAAAGAAAACTGAATTAATGAGTTAATTAAATAGACAACAGCGATCTATGTTAATGGTGATTGTTTGAACTACAATTTTGCCACTATTCATTTAATTAAATGTATTTAAATATTTAATTTAATTTAATTTAATTTAATTTAATTTAATTTAATTTAATTTAATTTAATTTAATTTAATTTAATTTAATTTAATTTTTAAAAACAGACCGCTGTGATTTGTGTGGATGAGAATTGTTTGAACTACAATTCATGCTGCCGCTGTTTAATGAATGGCCTCACTGTTGTGTGCCGTCATGTGATGCAAAAGCACCATAAGAGTTGCATTGTTCACAGTGTGCCTGTATATCTGTGCAGAACAGTGCTTCTGTCTTATATTGTCACGGAGCACAGCTGTTCTATGAGTCAAACCATGCATTTCCAAGATGTTTTGTAATGCACACAACATCACCCCGAGGAATTAAACAGATTCGGATGGAGAGAGATATGGGAAAATAAGGGAGGAGAGGTAATACAGATATACCACAGAGAATGTGTCTGAAATCCAGCATGCAGCAGAAAGCCAAGCAATATTCTCTCTGCGTGTTTGCTTTTGGTTTGTGGCGAGGACGCAGGGATAAATGTGTTCATTTATAGAGGTCGGAGATCTCTCCCACGCTGAAGTAAACGTAGCGGTGCAGGTGTGAGGTGGTCCGTGGTGCATTTGAGGGGGAAAAACATTCACAAAATGCTTTGTTTCTGCTGGAGTGGACATGGGCGTGTGTGTGCTGGAGCTCCAGGAAAGTACAGTGTGTTTTAGGCAGTGGTTGTGACTGCAGAAGATGAAATCGTAAACCATTGATCACATTTTTTTATGCTTTTCTTGAAGTTTCTTCTGAATTTATGCTCAAGATATGCTTTAAGCATAATATTTGTAACTTTTTATTAATTTTTAAAAAAATGTTTAGGTTTCAATGGAGGTTTGCATAATATAAAAGTCAGAAATATTTAAAGGCTTCACTAGGTTAATTAGGGTAACTAGGCAGGTTAGGGTAATTAGGCAAGTTATTGTGTAACGATGGATCGAGAAAAAAATATAGCTTAAAGGGGCTAATAATTTTGTCCTTAAAATGGTGTTTACAAAATTAAAAACTGCTTTTATTCTAGCCAAAATAAAACAAATAAGACTTTCTCCAAAAGAAAAAATATTATCAGACATACTGTGAACATTTCCTGAATCTGTTAAACATCATATAGGAAATATTTAAAAAAGAGAAAATAAATTCAAAGGGGGCGAATAATTCTGACTTTATAAATGAATGAATGAATGAATGAATGGATATTATAATAAATTCATAAAAAATCGTGTGTTATTTAAGGCTGAAATATTTGGAGGGAAAAGACTTTAATGTAAATAATTGTTTTTTTATTTATAATTCTGCCTATAATAAAATTGACTGGATGAGCTATATTGTGTAAACTTCATCAACAAAACCCATTATATCCCATTATATCCCAAAATCCCATTATATACTACAGTTGTGGTATTTTCTATACAGTGTCAGAGTTTTAAACCAGCAATAATTTTACCCAATCTGAAAATAAAATAAAATTAAATAAAATAAAATAAAATAAAATAAAATAAAATAAAATAAAATTAAATTAAATTAAATTAAATTAAATTAAATTAAATTAAATTAAATTAAAACAGCAAATAACAGCAAAATTCGAGAGAAACAAAAAATAGAAAATGCAATTAATAATATAAAATAA